CGCAAAACGCTTAGATTTATTCAAAACATGTCTAATTCTGATCTTAATTTTATGCTAATTTCAAATCCGAAAACTATAGAAGAAATTTTTCCCGTTTCACTGCGGATATTTATAACACGATTTTTTCAAGGCCATCGATCAACGACTCGCCGAGGTGCTGCAAGGGGTTAGCGCACTCATATCCGGAATCACCATTGCATTCATTTACGGATGGAACGTGGCACCTATTGGATTGGCTACGGCTTTGTTACTAGGTAATATTTTTAACCTTATGTAGCTCCATAGTAATTTTTTTAAAAAAAGAACTGGTAATCAAGTCCTTTCCTATCTTTTCATGTGCAGAATTTCGCCATTTTAGTGATTGCTCAGTCATCTGTTACCCAGTATCTGAAATTCCGAGGAGAAAAAGATGTCGAGTCCGCTATAGAAGCGAGCAGGGTACAGTTCTATTAATTATTTGTGTAGTTATAGAGCTGCTATTCATTACGAGATACCAATAAAACTGTCCAGCTTGCGATCAAACCAGGTTTGCCTTGAAATTTTAAAATTTGCCATTTTTCGGAAGGTTTTTTGATAAGAAAAATTTGTAAACCAAAAATTGCTGCAATAATGAACATTAAGCATTTTGTTTCAGATTGTCACCGAAACGATTTCAAATACGAAGACGATCCAAGCTCTGTGCAAGGAAGGATTCATGTACCGAGCGTATTCTGCTGCTGCACGCGAACCTCATAGGAGAGCTTTGGTCAGAGGTAAATCCAGAACAAATCACTTTAAAATATCATTGGCAAAGCCATAAATCGCCATTTATTCACTGAAAACCTTAATTTTTCCTACATTGTCTCAAACCCAACAACGAGACAAATTTCAGGTCTTTGGCAATCGTTGTCTTATGCGCTGGCAAATATGTTTGTCATGATGAACTTTGCAATCGCATATGCGTTCGGATTATGGCTGATCAAGAATGGATGGAGTACTCCTTTCATTGTTTTCCAGTAAGTTTCTTGTACCATTTCTG